AGAGGAATGGGGTGTCCAAAAAGTGATCCAGGAAGAGTCCATCTGTTCCAGTCACCCTGGCTTCAGCTCAGAGATGCCCTGAGGACCTGGGTTCAAATTCCCATCTGTATGTGTCATTGGGCAAACCACCGTCCCTCTCCGGGCCTCAGTTTTCTCCTCCGTAGAAGTGTCTTTATTCCAACGGAGGATCTCTCCAGCTCTGACTCTGTAACCTTATCTATTTGCCTTCTGGACCAAACGGAGTGCTTCACTCATGAACCATTTCAGGGACGGAGGTGCTCTCGCTCTGAGAGACTCAGAATTCTTGCCTTCATGAGATGATGTCGACAACTGGTTTTTGTCTCCTGCTTTAAGGATTGCAAAGCCCGTTAGAAGCATTAGCTCATTTGAAACTGTGAGGCCAGGACTGTTGCTGTTATGTTATTCTCCTGTTACAGATGAGGAGACTGTGGGTCAGAGAGGTTCAGTGATTCAGGGTCACATGGATGTCCCACACTGTGCCAATGTGGGACATTTGGGGCAGGGGGGGATGCTGGTAAATATTTAACAACCAGCTCTAGCTTAAGACATGTTTTTAGCTTTACTATTTATCATTAATATTTTCTACATCACTTTCCTAAGTCTCTGGGCAATCACTAGGACAATAAACCAAGCCCTGAGATGTAGCTTTTACTCATTTTCAGGTTGTAAATGCTCACACTGAAAATTAAACAATTGGCTCTCAGGATAAGCTGCATCCAGCACACTCCTACATCCCTCTCATGCCATAGGCTCCTGGGCCTCCTCTCTTTCTCCCCTTCCCAAGCCTGAGGCCCCCAGGAGACAGTAGAGCTCCCCAGCTCCTCTTAGGGGCCTGTTCCCACCTTTACCCTCTCCATCCTGCCACCTGCTCCTCCTTGCCACAGCTCTGCCCCCATCCCACTGCCAGGCCCCACTCACCCCCTTCCTTCCAGTGGGACATATTTCCTGAGCTCAGACCCCACCTCCACTTTTTACACCGCCTCTTCTACCCTCCCCTGCTGCTCTCCCTCCCCAAACTACCTTAGGTAGATTTTATCTACATTATACATGCATGATGCTGCCCCCTTCATATGGAGACAGAAAAGGACATTGATTCAAGGAGCACAGAGACAGTTTAGTAAAGTTGTAAGAGCTCTGGATTCCAAAGACTTGGGTTCTAATCCTGATTTTATCATTTCCACCTCTCTGGCCTTGGGCAAACCACTTAACCTCTCTTGGGGCAGTTAGGTGGCACAATGGTTAGAGCGCTGGACTTGGAGCCAGGAAGACCTAGGGTCAAATCCAGCTTCAGACATTTACTAGCTGTGTGACCCTGAGCAAGTCACTTAACCTCTCTGTGCCTTAGTTTCCTCAATTGTAAAATGGGGATAGTAACAGCACCAACTTCAAAGTGTCGTTGTGAAGATCAACTAAGATATTTCCAAAACTCCTATCACAGTGCCTGGCACTTAGTAGGTGTTACATAAATGCTTATTCCCTTCCCCTCCCCTCAAGGCCTCAGTTTCCCTATATGTAAATTGGGGGAGGGGAAATAGATGCTCTCTAAAGCCCCTTTCAATTCTAGATCTCTGGATCTCTGATCCTATAAAAGTAGCATCTGGAGAAAGCTGTTTGGAGGAAAGCAATCAGAGCTGGGCGAGCTTGACTGCATTGCTCTTTAGCGCCCTCTACAGGTTGAGATTAGGGAAATGCCTCAAGGGCTTGACCGCATTGCCCTCTGCAGCCCTCTCTGGCTTGAAAGGGCATAAGTACTCAGAGCTAGGAGAGATCTCTGTAGTTCTCTGCTTCTCCCTGATACCATTTAATGCTGTTTCAGCAGCTTCCAGCCAAGGGAGCATCCCTGGAAAGCTGCAGGCTTCATGCTTAGGACTGCTGTCTCACCGAAAGAGCATAATGCTGCTCTTTTACTAAAATAATGATAACAATAATAAAAAACAACTAAGATAACATGGCTTTGGAGACCCTGGAGAAGCAGAGAAAAGGTTTCAGCATTCAGTGAGAGTGAGGAGAGGCTCACTCCAAAGGTGCAATGCCCAGTGAACGACAGGACTGAGAGACCGCCGTATGCCCAGTGCCCAGCACAGTGCCAGGCACATAGCAGGCACTTAGTAAATGCTGGTTGCTTGGTTCATCAGGCCTGGGGCCGAGCTCTGGCTGCCCCATCCTGGTTTCAGCTCTGCCCATTCTTAGGTTCTAGCTGTTTTAAACATGGAAATGAAGAGGATTTTAACGGAAACCAGAGCAACTTGGAGGTGGTGCTACCTGGAGGAGGGGTCAGAGGAACCCTTCTCTCCCCTGGGTGAGGCAGATCCTCCCTCCTCAGCAGCCAGAGGTTGAATGAGCTCAGTGAACAGTTAAGTTCACAGTCTGATTCACCCAGGCTCCCTTCATGTCTTTGGGCACTCCAGGGCTGCATTAGTCATCCTTTGAAGGAGACCGACTCAGATATAAGCAGTCTAATGACTTCCAGACATGGATGGCAGCCAGTTCTTGCTCCTCTAGGAAAAGGTAGTACAGTATAGGGGTTACACCAGCTGTAGAATTCATTATTTTTTTCTGCATCAAATTCTAGCACAAAGAGGGTATGATTGCCATGTGCAGGCAGGAGTCGGAGCTGACCTCACCCTGGTGCTTTAATGTTTGCGAAGTGAGTTACATTGTCACCATCATTATCATCGACTTTGATGCAGCACTTAATGATTATTGATCTCAGCAACTGGGGAATAAGATATACAGGCAATGGGGTATAGAAATTGATCCTGCCCTACAGGAAAATAGAAGAGGAAGGAGATAAGAGGCAGGATGGTGATAGAAGGGAGAACACATTGGGGGAAGGGGTACTCAGAATGCACACTGTTGGGGTAGGAGGAGGGAAGAGATGGGAAGAAAATTTGGAACTCAAAATCTTGTGGAGGTGAATGTTTAAAACTAAAAATTAATTAATGAATGATTATTGATCTCGTGTCGTCTTCATGACAGCTGTGTGAGATCAGAACTGAAAGCACTGTCATCAGATCCTACCCTAGTATTGCTAGTAGCATCACCTTAAACAAGTCACTCCTCCCCTCACCTCAGTTTCACCATATGTAACATAAAGGGTTCGGGGTTGGCCATGTCTAAGGTCTCTTCCTGATCAAAATCCCGCAGTCCCTTTCATATCACCAGCAGTTGGCATTCCTGTGTCCAGTTGTCTGTCTCCCCCCTTAGACTGAGCCCCTTGAGAACAGGAACTGTCTTCTGTCTTTCTTTGTACTGCCTTAGCTCAAAATAGGCGTGTAAAAATGCTCATTGACTGACAAAAAAGCATTGATTTAAAAAGAAACAAGACATGTGGCCTTGGGCCAGACATTTTACAAATAAGGAAACCGAGGTACAGAAAGGTGAAGTCATTCGTCCAAGGTCACCCAGATATTCAATGTCTGAGACAGAATTTGAACCCAGGTCTCCCCGAGACCAAGTTCAGAGACTTATCCACTGTCTCACAGTGCATCTCTGAACTTAACGTCTTCTCCTCAACCATAAAATCACATGGTTGGTCTCTGGGTTCTGAATAGCTCAGAAGTGATGATCAAATAATCTCTATGCTCCCTTCTGGGCCCAAGATCCCACCACCCTTTGTCCTTTCGTGGTAGGAGCTACTGGGGCCCTCCCCCTGCATGTTCCCTAGTGTAGCCCCCAACCCAACCAGGCCAATGCTGACTTTGTTTGTTTTGTTTTTAACCAGACCTTTGATTTCACTTGGTGAGTAAACTCCCTTTGCCAATTCATTCAAGCCCCAGTTCTGCAATTTGTTCTTAGAGAGTTGTTTGGGGGACCAAGAGGGTAAGTGACCTGCCCAAGGTCACATGGCCAGTCGGTGTCAGAGACAGGGCTTGAGGCCGCATCTTCTTCACCCAGAAGTCAGAGGTCTCCAACCATTGCACCTCCCTGCCTTTTGATACTAAGCTTCAATTCACAGACTCTGCACACATATCCCTATTGCACCCCATTAAACTTGGGTTGTTTTCAGATTCTTTCCCCTGTCCTTGCCCATTTAACCAGGAAGCCTGCTGGGGTGGGAAGAGACCTCTCCCATGTGATTACTGTTCACAACACACCCTTCCATAGGTGCTCCAAAGAGGACCCAGGCAAAGGACCAGAAGTCTTCCTCTGGGCCTTGGAATGTTCTGTGGGCACCAGGGCAGTGTTTGAGTGGTCCAACTCTACCACCTGATAGAGTGACTGTGGGAGGCAGGAGCCTGGGGCTCTTGGCCCGTCTCCTCCGCTAGTTTGCTGTGGCATTTTCCCAATATTTCCCAATGTCTCCAAAGCTCAGGGTCTTCATGAATCAAATGAGTAGGGAGAGGGGTAGAGAAAGAGATCAGCATGTGGGAAGTGTGGCATCATGGAAAGAGCGGAAGACCGGACTGAAGTTCTAGCCCCGCTACTAACCTATTGGCTAGTGTGGTGGATAGAGCACTAGGCTGGAGTCAGGTAGACTGTGACCCAGGGCAAGGGACTTCCCCTCTCATCTTCTTCAGTTTCCTCATCTGTAAAATGAGGGGTTTGGACTTGATGACCTCGAAGGCCTCTCCCGGCTGAACCGCGTGACCTTGGGCAAATCCCTTTCCCACTCCCCCCACCCCAAGCCTCACTTTCCTGATCCGTAGAAGGAGAGTATTGGGCCAGATGACTTCACCTAAGAACGAATATTGAATTGCTTTTCTGCGTCGTGATGGGTGTTTCTATCCCTGAATTCCATAGAGGCAGTGTAGGACCCCAGAAAGCCCAGGGGATCCGGAATCAGAAGCGCGGAGCTAACTCTCCTGAATTGTGATGCGACCCTGGATCAATCACCCAGAAGAAACCTACACACCTGCAGTGTCATGCCCTACTCTCCCACAAGAGGGCGTACTGGCAGCAGTGGCTGAGGCCACGGCCGGCAGGGAGCCAAGCTGCCCATCGCCAGCCTCACGGTTGAGGTTAAGAAGCACGCGGCGTCCAGTGAGAGCCTTTATTCAGAACGTTTAGGAATGGAGCTGCAAGCGGGGATTCCTGACTACATTCACAGTTGTGTGCAGAGGACAGACGGGCGGCAAAGGGAATGGTCTTAAAAGCATTTGCGGTGGACAATGGAGGGGCCAGCCTCATCGTACTCCTGCTTGCTGATCCACATCTGCTGGAAGGTGGACAGGGACGCCAGGATGGAGCCGCCGATCCACACCGAGTACTTGCGCTCTGGAGGAGCGATGATCTGGGAGGAGGGATAACAAGCACAGAGGCAGGGCTAGGGACGCAGACGCGGCACCCTCATCTGAGGTCATGGTCCAATGACCAATGGAACTGGAGCATGACCGCCAGGCTCAGCTCCCATCTCTGGGACTGGCTCCCTAGGCAACTCCGGGCCCGAAGGAACCTCAGTTTCCTCATCTTCAAGAAGGTCTGGGACTAGCCCCAGTGTTTTACAGATGAGGAAACTGAGACCCGAGGAGGTTCAGTGACTTCCCTGAGTCACGCAGGCAGCAAAGTGGCAGAGGTGGGATTGAACCCCCGACCCCAGCTCCAAACCCAAGACTCCTTCCACTGGACCAAGCTGCAGATGCAGCTCTTAGCCAAGGACCCAGCCAAGCAAACCGGGAGGGGTCCTCCTAGGGAAGTCTGTGGGTCCCACACAGACCCCTGGTGGACTCAAATGTTCAGAACAGACCTGAGCATTGCCCAAGGAATCGTTTAAACTCTCTGGGCCTGGGTCCCCTTGTAGTACCATGCCCCAGTATACTGGATTCAGAGACTAGATGACCTCTAAGCCCCTTTCCCATATGATGCTCCACATAACGCTGCCAAGGAATTTCCTTCCCATTCTGACAAACCGTTCAAGGTCACCTTGGTGGTCCTTGAGTTCTACTCAGGGTCAGACTGCAACACCGGGGCTCTGTGGACAGGAGCCTCGGGGCCCTTACCTTGATCTTCATGGTACTGGGTGCCAGAGCCGTGATCTCCTTCTGCATCCGGTCTGCGATGCCCGGGTACATGGTGGTGCCCCCTGACAGGACGTTGTTGGCATAAAGGTCCTTCCTGATGTCGATGTCACACTTCATGATGCTGTTGTAGGTTGTCTCATGGATGCCCGCAGACTCCATCCCTGGGAGAAGGAAACCATAGGGGCCACACCAATGAGGGGAGGAGATGAGAAACCACAGGTTGGAAACACAAACATCACAGCCAGAGATGGGTAACGCATCTCTCCGAGTCCCACAGTCCTCTGCAAAGTGAGGATGGGAGTCTTCACACAGCTTAACCCACAAGGAAAGACACTGTGTGAATCATGAAGTCCTCCAGAAATGGGAGTCCTGGTTAGCCAGCCTCCCAGAGGGTCAAAGGGTAGAGTCTCCTCACATCATCATCAAAAATAATAATGTTAGAGAAGAATGGAGAATGATAGCTGGCATTTATACTGCACTTACCATGTGCCAAACACTGTGCTAAGCACCCTAAAAAAAGCGGCTTCATTGTGCCCAAGAAAGGCTCTGTGGCTCTTACCGATGAAGGAGGGCTGGAAGAGGGTTTCTGGGCAGCGGAAACGCTCGTTTCCAATGGTGATCACTTGGCCATCAGGCAGCTCATAGCTCTTCTCAAGGGAGGAGGAGGATGCGGCTGTGGCCATCTCGTTTTCAAAGTCCAGAGCCACATAGCAAAGCTTCTCCTTGATGTCACGCACAATTTCCCGCTCGGCTGTCAACAATAGTCAACCCTCAGCATTCCAGAGGGGGGGGGCCCAGGCTAAGATGCCTAAGGTTGTCCTCCCCCATCCTTTCATGATCCTCTGAAGCCAAGTACATGGGGAGCAAAGGGTCCTTTCCTTCGCACAAAGGAGATGAGCCTTGAAAGGGGGAGGGAAATGATCATGGCCAAGCTGAGCCCCCTTCTTTGCAGAGGTGAGGGATGAGGGGTGTGGACGCTGCATAGACTAGCGGACTTAATTCATGTATACATTAGTTGTGCTCAGTTGCTTTTTCCTCCCCCTTTCCTGATCACCTCTTCTTATTAAAAAAGGGGGGGCCTAGGAGAGAGGGCAGTGCACAGACATATTGTGGGATAAGATGGATGCAAGAATAAAAGATACCAATAAACATCGAATCCTCGTTTTAAAGGGGGGACAGAGGAGAGTATAACATCCCATACCGGTAGTCACAAAAGAGTAGCCTCGCTCGGTCAGGATCTTCATGAGGTAGTCAGTGAGATCACGGCCAGCCAGATCCAGACGCATGATGGCGTGGGGCAGAGCATAGCCCTCGTAGATGGGCACGTTGTGGGTGACGCCATCTCCAGAGTCCAGCACGATACCTGAGGGCACAGCCACAGGAAGGGGCATCATTGGGGTTAATGGAAAAACACCAGCCCAAGCCCATCATTGGTCAGGCACTTATTTTCCAGGTGGATATAAGGTTAGGGGTCAAGCTTTTTACACACTGTAAACAACTCATCCTATTTTTCCTTACCTTAATTCTTCAAGGTTCTCTGATCTCTCAGTGTGGACAATTTATTTGTTAATGCATATTGCAACCCCTCTAAGACTTAGCAGACTGTCTTTCTGAATTGCTTTGGCCAAAAAATTCATCTGCTGGTCCTTGAATGACACCAACCTAGAGTTGGTATCTGGGGCTGGTGGGACAGAGCCGACTTCTTTTGGTAGAGCCTCCAGGAGCCATTGGACAGGTACGTTATAGGAGCACCCCATGTGTGATTGTAGCCAAAATAATAAGTGTTCCTTGGTTCAGAGTGGGGTATTTGGCCCCTCTTGGTCACCTACCAGTTGTACGTCCAGAGGCATAGAGGGACAGGACAGCTTGGATGGCAACATACATGGCGGGCACGTTGAAAGTCTCAAACATAATCTGGAAAAAGCATGCAAACCTTAGTGTTACAGTCATTTCCATTAAAATTTGCTTTTCAAATGGACAGGAGTTATTTAATGAAAAACATTCCACCCCTGGGGATAAAATGAAAACTTGAATTGAATTCAAGAAGCATTTATTAAATGCCTACTGTATTCCAGGCACTGTGCCAGATACTGGAGTGAATTGCTGGTGTCATTTTAAAAGTTCTATCACTATCATTCTTAGTTTTGCAGCCAACCAAAGGAGGTAGGGGAGAGAGTACACATTCCCTGCCCAGCCACCCCAGCCTGGGAGAATACAGTGGTGTGGAAGCAGAGTGGGTACTTTAAGCCAAAGGTCAAGTGGCTGGACTGTGTAAGATTTCAACCCAAGGCAGCAAACCACCCATTGATGGCCCCAAGCATCCCCCACCCTGTTCTAAAAACTAGAGGTGGCCAGCAGTGGCTGGGTAGATGAGCCCCCCTTCTCTGCCCTGCCACAAGTCCCAGTTCACAAGATCTACACACACACACACACACATACACACACACACACACCAGCCCCAGGCTGTCCTGTACCTGAGTCATTTTCTCCCGGTTGGCCTTGGGGTTCAGGGGTGCCTCAGTGAGCAGAGTAGGATGCTCTTCTGGGGCCACACGCAGCTCATTGTAGAAGGAGTGATGCCAGATCTGCCAAGAATCAAGGAGGAGAAAGGAAATATCAAGAGTAGTTGTCACCTTTATGATCACAGGAGATCCTTCCTGGACCCCTAGAGGGCAGCAAAGTGCCCCACCTAATTATGGCATTACTATGGGGCTTCAAGGTTTCCATACAACTCCGTGAAAAAAGTAGATAGTGGAAAGGTTATCTCCATTTTATGAGTGATACTTGTGCCTTATCTTCCCTATTAGGTTCTAGGCTCTGTCTCCCACTTCTTGTTACAAAATGGTAGGCTAAGGGTGAAGAAAAAGGCATACATTGTCAGGCATGGCCAATGGGTTGATTGGTTTTGCTTGATTTTACCACTTGTTTTTATTCTATTGGAGGTGGAGGTGGAGTGAGTCATTGGGAAGTTAGAGCATCATTCAAACATTTAAATAAATTAAAATAATAAGACTGTAAGCTCTGCGTGGGCAGGGACTTTCTTCTTCATGACCCCTATAGCCCTCCAAGAACCTCGCACATAGCAACAAGCACCTACTATGTGATGGGGATGACGCTAGTCACTAAGAGTAAAAAGACAAAAATAATACAGTCCATTCCGTCCAAGAGCTAAGGATCCCCATATTCTGATAGCATTGAGATTCCCCTCCTTATGGCCATTCTCTCTGGTGAGGTAGATTGCAGCGCATCCAGTGCCCATCCATTGCCCATCTTACGCAACCCTCATCCGTGCCCAAGGCTGAACAGAGTGAGTGCTCCATCTCCAAACCTTAAATGAAGACTTGGATGAATGAATGCAAGATAGGGTGGAGTCATGCTCTAGGAGGGAGATTTGTGTGTGTGTGTATGTGTGTGTGTGTGTGTGTGTGTGTTTAGTTTCCTGTGTGTATGTTGTATCCCTCCCATCCCCAAGAAAATGCAAATTCCTCCAGAGTTTTTTCTTTTTGCACCCCCAGAACCTAGCTTCATGCTCGATTCTCATGAGGTGTTTAAAAACACTCATTGAGTTGAGTTGAACAAGGAAGACTTCTCTGAGAAACATTTTCAAATGATTTTCACTATTGGCTAAAGGTTAACCCAGTGACAGTCCAGGGACCAACCGTGTCCTGGAGGTTGGAACCTTGGACTAAAATAAACACACCCCATCACAATGGACTGAGCCCTTGATCCCATGGCCAGTACCTTCTCCATGTCATCCCAGTTCGTGATGATCCCGTGTTCTATTGGATATTTCAATGTCAAGATTCCTCTTTTGCTTTGTGCTTCATCCCCTACGTAGCTGTCCTTTTGGCCCATGCCCACCATCACTCCCTGAAAAGAACAAGGAAGGAAAAGTCATTTTCTCAAAAGTCTTTTGAATGAAGCTTAATGAAACAACGCATGGGTCAAGTTCCTAGCCCTAGACGTTCTCCTGGTTGTGTTCCAGTGGGTTGATGAGATGCAGATCTTCTCTCTTTGGTGGCTTTTGGGATTCTCCATCCAAGTTGTCAATTGCCCCAATTTAGAGTGAGAACTTCAAAGAACCAAGATTCCTTGGTGTTAGCACTCCTTAGCTGAAGTACATCAGAACTCTTCTGTACCACAGTAGATAAACTTTGTGAGCTGCTCTGGCCAAAAAAAGCCTCAGCTAATAGCCAACTTTCTGGTAAAGAGCCTTTCCAAACTTAGCTAGATGAGACCTTGGGTAAAAGACCCAGAGTTAGACTTTTCTAGCTTGGTAGGATCTCCCAGAGAAGGTGCTGCACTGACAGGGCCTTTGAGAGCCTGGGGACATCTCAGTGTCACACCAAGGCATCAGTGAAAGGTGGAGGCACCTAATTAAAAAGGGACATTTTAACCCCCAAATACAGAGGGAGCAGTATAGTACAAATGATAGAGAGAAACTGTGAATGAATTGGCTCCTGAAATAGGGGCAGGGCATGTAGAAATGTAATGAGTGAAAGGAGAAGGGGAGAGAAGAATTTCTAACCTGGGCCTGGGATGGCCCCTAGTAGGCACTGCCCTCAAATACTTGGGTGTGGTTATAGCTCTGAGCATGGATGGCTACAAGAAAGAGCATCCTCCCTTTGAAGCCTTCACATCTTTTTTGGAGATACATGGTGGGGGTCGGGGCAGGGGGCTGGACCTCTGTCAGATAGGATGTTAGTACTCAACGCTGGTCCTAATGGTCAAGTCAACTCTTTTTAAATACACAATTGTTATGCAAACAGTTGCACTCACCAAGGAACAATTCTGGCTAGTCACCAAGACAGTCCCAGATAATAGATGAGTCTTTTAAAAATACTCCAAGTCAGAGTTCCAGCTCTAGAGGTCGGAGGGGCCATTAAGACCTTGTAATCCAGCTCCCCTATTTTACAAGCTCTCTCTGGTAGGACATTAATCTGACATTAATCGGAAATCTGCCTCTTCACTCATCTCTGGACCTTCCATGCATTGTTCCAGCTATTCCCTCTGAGGCCAAGAGGAGGTCAGATTGCTACGTTGGATCTATTGGAATGTCTGAAGCCCTCCATCCTCGCTGATGGAGAGAAAGTGCATGGCTCACCTGATGTCGGGGACGGCCCACGATGGAAGGGAAGACGGCTCTGGGGGCATCATCCCCAGCAAAGCCGGCTTTACAGAGCCCAGAGCCATTATCACACACCAGTGCAGTGCTGTCCTCCTCTTCACACATCTTCTATAGCTGCTTCTTCACACAGGCCTACCTGCAGAGAGAAGAAACCCACGTGGAACTGACCACCCATAGAACAAGCAACGTGCTGGACATCAAGTCCACCCTTTCACAGGTCACACAGGTACGATGGGTCAGACCTGGCTGAGGGTGAGTCACAGCTGGTATGGAGCATTCCACAACACCACAAATTCTCAGAATCTCACATTTGGGAAGGGCCTGAGTGGTCAGCTAGTCCAACCTGTAGAGAATCTCACCGCTGTATACTTGAGCATTGGCCAGCCAGCATTTTTGTAAAGATCTCCTGTGAGAGAGGACCCCTGTCCTTCTGAGGTAGCCCTCCCCACTGGGGGACTTGATGGAAAGAACAAAGGACTTGGGAGATAGAAGAGCTGGATATGGCTCCTGGTGTGATGGTTCACTAGCTATGTAAGCTCAGTGACAAGCCACTGGGAGCCTCAGTTTCCTATCTAAAAAATGGGGTTAAGGATACTTCCCTCCAAGGGATGCTGTGGGAAAAGCCCTTCGTAAACTCTGAGGTGCTCTAGGAAGGACCCATTCACAAGACTGCTTTTAAGAGCACCTGGACACAAAATCTGATTTCCTATTTCACTGATTTATTTTCCTTTAAAGAAAGATTCCAACAAACAGAGAGATAAAGGAGGGAAGGAAGGAAGAAAAAAGAAGGAAAAGAAAAAAGAAGGAAAAGGAAAAAGAAGAAAAAGGAAGACAAGGAGAAAGAGAAAAGATGGAGAAAAAAAGGAAAAAGGAGAGGCAGAAGGCGGTGATCTGTATGGTCTAATCCCTCAAAATTCTACTGAATTCAACAAATGTTGAGTATAAATCAATATCCAGCTCATTCAGACGATACGTGCTCAGCACTGGTTGTGTGCCGGGCGCTCACTGGGAGAAGTGCTGGGGAAAACCAACAGTGCCATAGTCACTACATGCCCAAGCCTGAGCAAACTGCCCCACTGGAGAGGAAGCTTCTTGAGGGGATGCACTGGTTCCCTTCTGTCCTGGAGTCCCCGGGTTCATCACAGTTCCTGACACATGACAAGAATTTAAGGAATGCTTCTTGATTTATTGATTAATGGATAATAATAATAATAATCGCTGACATTTCTGTACAGTGTTAGAGTTTGTGAAGCCGTTTCCGTGTTTTGTCTCATTTCAGCCTCAGTTCAGCTGTGGGGGGCAAGTACAGCACATGTTATTCTACCCATTTTACTGACCAGGAAACTGAGAGTTTCAGTGACTTGACCAAGATTAGGCCGGTAATAGGCAGCACATCTAGGGTTTGGACCTGTATGGAGCATGGCTCTTGTGCCGCATACTGCCCCCTGCAGGAGAGTCAGTCCATAGAGATCCTCCTGAATGCTTGGGAAGTTTGCAGGCACACATTTAACTTTAGAATATCATTTGCAGGAAAAGCACTGGGCTTTCACAATACATTCAAGAACATTGTGGGCTCTTTTTACATTTTGTTCCCTTCCCCCACCAAATTCTCTTCCATGACCCTGCTCCTGGAAGTCCTGCTTCCCACCCCACCCAGGAATGTACTGGGAAATGATTAACAATTAGCTTTCACAAAACCAAAAAAAAAAAAAAAAAAAAGACACACTTTTAAGTTTACTTTTTGCTATTAACATTTTCTTGTCACTTTCTTAAGTCTAGACAATCAACTGAACAATTGCTCAAGCCCTGATTTGCAACGTCCCGGTTTAAACATACACTCTCTCAATTGGCCCATGCGATGACTCCATCTGCACACCGATCCCTGCCTCATCTCCTCAGCAGATCTCATCAGTAGAAAAAGAGAGACAAGGGGGGACAGGGCGCCGGAGATCACAGGGTCAGAGATTTAGAGTTCTTCTAACCCTCTCATTTTGCAAATGAGGAAACTGAGATTCCCAGATCAACCGGGATTCAAAGGCAGCACACACACACACACACACACACACACACACACACGCACACACGCACACGCACACACACACGCACACGCACACACACACAGAGCAATATCTCAAACGTGGCCTACATGGTGGTTTTGCTGAGCTCTTATCATTCTCCCTTTTTAAAAAGTCTTTGTTGCAAGGGATGGTTCCTCAGGGAGGGGGAAGGAAGGGGTCTATTCAGAAAGGAAGGTGATATGAAAGCAAAATATATAGATAAACATTTATTTATTTTTTCGAAATGAGAACAGCTCACATTTTCACGCCCCTTTGAGTTTTACAAAGCACTGGCCCTTAACAGTTCTGTATGTTCAGGTGTTAATACAGGCATTTTTGCCCTCTTTTTATAGATAAGGAAGCTGGGGTTCAGAAAGTCTAGAGATTTGCCGGTAGTCACACAGCTGGCGAGTACCAGAGCATCCCTCCCCGCTGCCTGCCCGGGGCACTTTTAACCATTACATAGCACTGCCTGCGATCACTGAGCAGGAATTCCGGAGGGACCCTCCTGGTTTGCTGCAGGATAAAGGTGACATGCGGCACCGTGGAGAATGCATGAAAGCCCAAACGCACAGACAATATTTGGGGTGAGTTTTTATTTGAGAGGCAGCTCGGGCTGCCATGGCTATGCTGTTGGACTTGGAGTCAGATTCACAAGTTCCAGACCGATCTCAGCACTTAGCAGCTGCGCGACCATGAATAATTCCCTCGACCTTACAGAGCCTCAGTTTCTTCATCCACACAATGGGCACAATAATCTTAGTAGTAGCTACTTGCCAGGGTTACTGTGAGACTCCAATGAGCTGTTGGGTATTGAGTGTTATATAAATGTTAATTCTTTTTGTTTTCCAGTAAATAAAGGGAAAGGGGTAATATGTCCAAGGAGGCTGATCCAGCTTCTTCAAAGAATGCATTCATCTCATCGGAGGTGGGGGTGGGGGAGGGGCGGGAGCTGGGCTGCTCCCCTGCCACAGCGGGTGGGTGGTTTCCAGCCCATCTCTAACCTGAATGAGCAGGGGCGGGTTTGGGACAAGCCGCTTCCTAATTAGGCAATCCGCACTGAAATTGCTGCTTTTGGAACCAAGTTCCAGGTCAGGGGGTTGCTCCAACCAACTGGAGCTCAGCCTGGGCCTGAAAGCCCAAGGGGAGGGGGGAGGGGAGGGGAGGGAGTGGGAGAATCCAGGGAGGAGGGGAGGGAACGCTGTATGCAGCCCCAGGCTTGCCAGGCTCCAAAAGCAAACCATATTTAGGCATGAAGGATGAAATGGGAAGAAGAAGAAGAAATTGACTCAAGACAAGGGCCCAGGCCTGACTTCCTGCTCAGCCCTTCCCTGCCCCGGGCTGGTCCAGCCGTCCCATGGAGAGCAGACAGCCAAGGAGCAGGAGCGAAGCCAGGCCCCCTGCAGGAGTGAGACATCCACTCAGCCCAAGCAAGCACCCAAGGGAGCATCCCAGAGGATCTCAGAGGACAGCTAGTCCGGCCCCCTCGTTTTATAGGTGAGCCCTGCCAGTGGGCAGGACTCAGATGGGAACCAGGGCTGGGACCCCAGCGCCTGCATCAACTGCCTCCCTTCTCATGCCTAATGCCTAACATCGCCTGCAAACACCCAGTGATCAAGGTCGTTTTTAGCTGGGGGGACATGAGAGGCAAAGCTAACCTGACCCCCTTATTTTACAGCTGAAGAAACTGAGGCCCAGGCAGGGGAGGCAAATTATCTGAGGTGGAACAACTACCTAAGTGTCAGAGCTGGGACTCAAACCCAGGTCTCTCAAACTCTCCAAATCTAGGACTAGAGGCTCCAATGTCTTAATACTTTCTGACACGCATGCAGGGCTTGCAAACGTAAGGCAGGATGTCACCCATTTTACAGATGAGGAAATCGAGGCCCAGAGAGGTTAAGTCATCCAAGTTTCTGAGAGAGAACTAGCAGTCTTGTGGAATGCTTACTCCAGCCACAAGCCACTCTGCCCCTAATAATCACCTTCACAGCTGCCATTTATGAGGGCTTAGAAGTCTACAAGGCATCTCACATGCATTATCTCATTTGAACCAGCTAATAACCTGGAAGGGTTGGGTACTCCGGCTATTACGATTTCCATTTTGCAAAGAGGAAGACTGAGGGTCCCTGAGGCTGAGTGACTTTACTTGCCTCAGGCCACACAGCTGGGAAGTGTCCCAGCTGGGATCTGAACACGGGTCTCCCTGATTCCAGGCTGAGTGCTAACCACTAGCTGACACTCCCTTCCTGACCACTGCCAGCATCCTAGAGGAAAGGGTCCTGATGAAAGATCATGGGGGCCGACTGACCTCCAACAGACAGCAGTGACAGAGCAGGGACATCTAAGCCCCTCATTTCCAGAAACCCTGGAAAGGCCAATTCCAAAACCAGACTATGGAAGCATTCTGTGCCAAAGCTGAGTCTTAGATTGACTCTGAAACACAGCAGGGGCTTCCCTGGAAACCTCTGCCTGACTCCAGACAGCCTGCTGAATTCTGGCGGTCTCTGACCCCAAGCTCTTTGCTGGGCACACAGTGGGTGTTACAGCTGACATGCACGAACCTTGTCCACCTTCCCCCGGTGCTGGCTCAGCGTCCCTGCTCCCACACCATCCCGGCAGCCAGCCAGATGGGACTGACGTCCAAAAGTCTGCCTACACATGGCATTTGTTTTCTCAGTGCAAATCCATCATGTGAATTCTCTCCCCCACCCCAAGCCCTGCTCCAGCCCCAGCCCCTGGCCCCTGGGAGACCTTGACCTCTCCTAGAGCCACCCTCCCGGGCTCATCCCACTTACCCCGACTGAGCTTGGCTGCCTGGCTGCTCCTCAGGGAGGGTGTCTGTCCTGGGAAGCTGAAAGCTCTTAGGTTATATAGCCCCTCGGCCTGTTCTCCTCCCACTGGCTTCCCAAACAAGGAACAGAGACAGGCTTAAGCCTCATCTCTCAGGCTAACACAGCCATATAGGGACCTTAGAACAAAAACCTCCCATCTGGGTGGCCCAGGGCCCGGGTCTCTGCTACTGCATTCCGCTGCAACGGGAGCAGAGCTGGGCTGGCAGGCAGGAATATACACAAAGCTTCAGGCCCACAGCTGCAGCCAGGGGAGACAATCCCAGATGGGAGGCACGGATGGGGAAAGGGGCAGAAAGATGCAATAAAAGCCTGGGCTACAAAGTGACCTGGGGCTTGGAGAACATGTCGAAGTGTCCCCTGAAACTTGGGAGACTTAAAGTCCAAGGCTTTAGAGTGGGCAGATGACCTCGCCCACTCACTTCATGTCACAGATGAGGGAAGGGAGTTCAGAGAGGGAAGAGGGGCGCAGAGACCTGTCCTAAGTCATGAAGGCAGCAAGTATTAGACATACCGGACCACAGTGTGCGTGGAGGGGAGTAATGGGTATCTAAACTGGAGTCAGGTTGGGAAACAATGGGGAAACAGAGTTTATATTGGACCCTAGCAGTCATGGGAAGCCACAACTGAGAAGAAGTGAGGTGGGGGAGGAGAGTGTGACATGGTCAGATCTGCATTTAAGGGAAATCACTTGGGCATTTGTGTGGATTTGAAGTGTTACTCTAAAGAGCGGAGCCCTGGTTCAAGCTCATATCCGCTGACTCCAGCTCTTTCTACCACCCATCTCACCTGTCTTCAGCAAGGAGCTTTCTTCAGCCCCCTGCTGCTGGAAGGCCAGGCAGGTGCTTAAGAAAACTGCACATTCATGTATTGCTTTAAAGTGTGCAAATTGCTTTCCATATCTCGTTTGATCCTCACATCAACCCTGTAAATTAGAGTACCCGGAAACAGTTACCATTATTACCCCCCTTTTACAGATGGTGAAACTGAGTCAGAAAGAAGTTAAGTGATAGGGTCACACAGCTAGTAAGCCACTAAAGAAGAACTCTGAACTCTGGTCTCCCTGACCTCACCCCCTACCCCTCACCCCAAGACAAGTACTCTATCCACTAAGCCACCTAGCTTCCATTAGGTTTAAGACATCAATTCCTGGCAAGATTCTAGAGCACATGATTAATTAAAGGGATGGGCAGTGAATGTCTAGAGCAGGAAGCAAAGATCACAGAGAGCCAGCTGTGCTGCATTCATAACAGATGCAACTCATTTTATTTTGATAGGCTCACTAGAGTGGGAGAACGGGGAAATGGCTTCCATATAGCTTACGTAGACTCCAGCCTTATTGATTGATTGTTGCTGATTGCTGTTTGTCCTTTATTTTTTAACAGAACCTGTGATGTCATGTGGTGATGTCTAGGCTCCCGCATAAATTGGATTTAAGGTGGGGCAGGGTTGCACAAAGTGCAAGCCTCACCCTGTCTTCCAGAGCCATCGGAGTTGAGAGGAGGGACAGAAGTCAGGATGACTGGCTGTGGCCCGAGATGCAGTGAAAGAGCTTGGTGTCTTCCGTGTCTGACCAGGCTCTAAGTGTTCCACAGCACCTGCTTCAGCAGCCTTCGTGGCCATTGGAACAAATTGTTCTCATCCAACCATTCCACTTGGGGGAAGTCTTCACGTGTTTGGGGTTGACACCTCCCCAACTCGCCGAAGGTTTTGAGCAAAGTACTTGGCAAAGTCTTTGGTGTTATTCTTGTGAAAAAGATGGCGAGATATGGGCTAGGTGGCAGTGAGATTAGACCGTTTTGACCCTGGTTGAATGGCCATGCCAAAAGAGCAGTAGAGATTTGTAGATCCAAGGCAGCTTAGAAAGAGGTCTCCAGTGGAGGGTCCCAGGGCTCTGTTTGGCTCTCGGCTGTTTTATCATTATCAATGATTAAGATGAAGAAATAGATGGTCTGTTTATCAAATTTGCAAGTGGTACAAAGCTGGGAGGGACGACTAATGCATCCAGTAATAGAGTCAGGGTTCACAGAGATCTTGACAAGCTAGACACTGGGCTACATTGAATACATGAAGCTTAATATTAGTACATTTAAGGTTTTAGTATTGGGTATTTAGTATTGTCCAAAAAGCAACTTCACAAGTACAAAATCAGTGAGATAGAGTTAAGTAGAAGTTCATCTGAAGGAGATTTGGGGGGGGGGGGTCAATCTATAATAATAGCTAGCATTTACATAATGCCTTAAGGTTTACAAAGTGCTTCATAAATATCACTTCATTTGATCAGCAAGTTAACCTTGTGAGGTAGGTGCTACTATTATCTCCATTTTACAGATGAGGAAACTGATGCACAGAGAGGTTGCACGACTTGCCCAGGGTCATGCAGCTACTAAGTGACTAAGGGAACATGTGACTTGAGGTCTTCCTGACAGGTCAACCAGTGTTGTAGACACCACCTCACCTCACCGTCCACCTCAAAGGTGATAATGGCTTGTGAGGGCAGAAGATTCCCATTGTCCTCATTCTCAAAGTGAGATTGACCCTGGCTCACATTGTCCCTCCTTTGTATTCTCCTGCCTTCATTGGACTTGAACCTTCTCTTCTTTCAGATGCCTTTTTGGAATGGAGTGTTGACGTCTGCATCTCTTTCAAATGAATCCTTGTTGGGGCACCCAGAAGCAGTGGAATTGAACCACTTTGATTAGCTCACATATTACTTAGCACTATGTAGAGCCGTTGATGTGACTGTATTCTCAGCGCCATATGCATCCTTGCATACAAGCAGATGGCTAGTGTGCATTTATGATGACAGTAGAGTAAATAAACATACCAAGAGACTATTTTGCCTCCTATTGTGGAAATAACCACAACCCCGTCTAATGTAACACACAGCTTCCCACTACATGGCATTCAGGGGTTTACACCCTGTATGAATAAGGGGATAAGCAAAGCTACACACAGGGCATTGCAGATGATTTGGGCTGGAAAAATTGAAGAAAGAATGGCCGCAGAAACCATCCTGATTCCCTTGTCTTGATTCCTTCACGAAAAAGGCAAACGTAAATATGAAAAACAAACATGTATCTGAGGGAACAGCTCTCCCATGCACATGTGTGTTGAACACAACAGAGCTGGTGAATTTTTCAGGAACCAGGCTACAGAATGTCAAGAATGAGAAGAAAGATCAAATAGTAAAGTTTCCATAACTCAAAGGAAAATTCTACCAAACTCTCAGTACATAACGTAGCACCAATTTTTTAAAACCTACAAAAATAAAGTCCTAAATAGTAAACAAAAAAAACCCAGTAAACAAAAACTTAGGGTCGCACTTCTCTAATGATGTTTTCATTAACTTTCTCATTTTTATTTTTCTGCAGAGATTATCAAACCAGTGAGGAGCCCAGTTCAATTTAGCAATAAGCTAAATGGCCAATTTTCTTTCTTCTTACCAAAAAAAAAAACAAAAAACCCCAGCATGTTCATTTTGCACAAAGATCATGCATCACCTGATCTGGAATTAGGTTGTAAGCTCTTTGAGGGCAGGAACTGTCTTTTGCTTCTTTTTGTATCCCCAGCACTTAGCACAATGCCTGGCACATAGTAGAAATTTGATAAATGTTTATTGATTGATTGATTGAAATGACAAAGTACGTAGAGAACTGACTTTGGAGTCAGGAAGACTTGCTCCAGTCCATTCCCTACCACATAGTAACTAGAAGACCCTGAGTGAGACTGACAATCTCTCAGTGCTCTAGACAATTCTCTAAGACCATAAGTGACAGAGAAAGTGCCAACCTGCACTGATGAAAGGAGTTTACTCACCTGGGTGTTCCTTATGCGCAGTCCAGGCCCTGTCTTCACAGAAATTGATAGATTCTGTTCATCCTTTTCTGCCTCTCATTTGTGTATTCTTCCAGTTGGCTGTCTTTTAGATTGTTGGAAGAAATATTTGAGTTTTTTTGTTTTTGTTTTGTTTTTGTTTTTATATTCAATATTTGTCCCAATTTCATGTAAAAGTATTTTAAACATTCTTTTTTTTTCAAATTTTGAGTTCCAAATACTCTCCTTCCGTTGCCCCTCCCCACATTGAGAAGGCTAGCAATTTGACATAGGTTATACATGTGTAGCCATGCAAAACACATTTCCATGTAAGCCATGTTGTGAAAGAAAACAAAGACCAAAAAAAATCCAAGAAAAATAAAGTTAAAAAAAGTATCTTCAATGTGCTTTCAGGCTCCACCAGTTCTTTCTTTGGACATGGACAGCGCCTTTCACCATAAGTCCTTCAAATTGTCTTGGATCATTGTATTGCTAAAAATAGCTAAGTCATTCACAGTTGATCATCATACAATATTGCTGTTACTGTGTACAATGTTCTCCTGGTTCTGCTCATTTCACTTTGCATCAGTTCATGTAAGTCTTTCCAGGTTTTTCTGAGAGCATCCTGCTCATCATTTCTTCTAGCACAATAGTATTCCATCACAATCACATCCAACGATTTATTCAGCCATTCCCCAATTGATGGGCATCCCCTCAATTTCCAATTCTTTGTCACCATTAAAAGAGCTGCTATAAATATTTTTGTACATACAACTGCTTTTCCTTTTTTTTATCTCTTTGGGATACAGACCTAATAGTGGTATTGCTTGGTCAGAGGGTATGCCTGATTTTATAGCCTTTTGGGCATAGTTCCAAATTGTTCTCCAGAATGGCTGAATCAGTATACCACTTCACCAATAGGGCATTAGTGTCTTAATTTTCCCACATCCCCTCCAACATGTCATTTTTTTTCTTTTCTGTCATATTAGCCAATCTGATAAGTGTGTGGTGGTAGCTCAGAGTTATTTTAATTTCCATTTCTCTAATCAATAGTAATTTAGAACATTTTTATATGGCTATAGATAGCTTTGATTACTTTGTCTGAAAACTGCCTGTCCATATCCTTTGATTATTTGTCAGTTGAGGAATGGTTCTTATTTCTATAAATTTGACTCAGTTTTCTATGTATTTGAGAAATGAAGTCTTATCAGAGAAATTGGTTGTGAATTTTTCTTCACAGTAATAATTACCAAGCATGTATTTCTCTCCATCCTATTTTCCCTGTTTATCCTGTTCTTTCTCACCTTTCACCCTGTCCGGAAATATTTGTTTTTATGTTCTATGATGGCATTATTTACATTTTAAGGGGAAAGGTAAGGGAACAAGCATTTATTTAGTGCTTACTATATGGCAGGCAACATATATATATATATGTATATGTATGTGTGTGTGTGCATATATATATACACATATATATGTATCTGTATGTGTGTGTTTGTATATCTATATCTATATATACATGCATACACACATATATAACATTATGTTTATAGAGAGATATATTCATATATTTAAGAGAAGCTAGGTGGCACAATGGATACAGCACCAGGCCTGGGGTCAGGAAGACTCTTCTTCCTGAGTTTAAAGCTGGCCTCAGACACTTACTAGCTTTGTGACCCTGGGCAAGTCGCTTAACCCTGTTTGCCTCTGTTTTCTCATCTGTAAAATGAGCTGTAGAAGGAAATGGCAAACTACTCCAGTATCTCTGCCAAGAAAACCCCAAATGAGGTCATGAAGAGTTAGACTTGACTGAAATGACTGAACAACAGTAGGGAAATACGTTTTACGTGACTTCATGTGTATAATTGACGTCATGTTTTTTGTCTTCTCAGTGGGGGGGAGGGGCTGGAGGGAGGGAGAAAATTTGGAACTCAAATCTTTTTAAGAAATTAATGTTAGAAAGAAAGAAAAAAAAGTTACTCTGGTAGAAGAAAATAAATAATTGCCTGGCAATCAGGCTTACTGTCTTAAGGTGCCCCTTAGAACACCAGAGAATTTGGGCTAGAAATATGACTGAAGACATGTCGATGTCTTTCCAATGGGCAAAATGAACAAACGGATGAAAGCGAGCTTATTGAGAGCTCTCTGTGTGCAAGGACCTCTGCTAAGCATCATGAATAAACAACAAGCAAGTAACACAGTCTCTGCCCTCAAAGAGCTTACATTCTAATGGGGGAGACAACCCAGAGAGGGTGGGCCCTGGGCAGAGGCACGCCTTGGAGGAGGCAGTCTGGTTTCAGGCACGCAAAGGTGAAGGCCCCAGAGGCAGAGCCCAGGTTCTGAGAGGAGGAGGAGGATGAAAAGGTTAAGATGGAGTTGGCAATGTCTGGAAAGAGCTTGGCAAACCTTAGTCCTATATAAAAACATTAGCCTTTGTTGACTAGCTAGTAGCTGGACACACGGGCCACCAGGTTCTAAGCTAAAAGCGCAGAATTCTTCATTGGTTTTCTTGCTAACCCCAGCTTGTCCCTTCCCTGTCTAATTACAGCTTCCTTTGCCCCTTTGGTCTCCATGTAGGGAGCATCTCCTTTTAAAAATCCCACTCTCTTACCTGGGAGAAATCTTAACTTCAGCCCTCCAGTCTGACCATACTAACAAGTATAAGGACAAAGAATAAGGGGCAAAACCACAACTTGGAAAAACCAATCCTGTGCCGCAGCCTCAGTTTCTACAATCATGGAAGAAAAAAGACCAGAGTTCCAAGTCTTCCAAGTGCCATCTTGACCCCCAGTACCCAGCGGATACTGGAATACTTGGATACTTGGAGTGAGAACGTGAGGAACAAATGTCACCGTCAGCCCAGAAAATTTAAATTTGAGACTCCGGCAGCGAGAGCTTTCAGCAATTACAGCCAAATGCCCAATGGCAGAAGCCAGGGTTGGACAGAAGAGTCGGCAATGGCCCCTTAACATTTTCCTGCTGCCATCCATCGGGGGCTGAACAGTGGGAGGGGGATGTAGGGTCGTTAATCTGTAGAAGGTCCCTGAATCCAGCTCTCACCCTTTCTCTCTTGGGGCTGATGGAGCAATAGGTAATGCTGATCGCTATGGGCCTTAAGTCTTACCTCCCATTTTAATATTTTCTGTAGGCTGAACCATAGACTTGGGAGTAGAAACTTGACTTTCTGATATTATCTCTACAAGAGAATTACTTTATTATGAACTTGATTAAGGCTCCTGGGATGGGGTAAGTATATGAACGGCATTATTTTCTAGCATACGTTTTGACCTCCTTCACATCCCTCTGCTCTTCTCAACAAGGCAACCCATTTGTTTAACTCTCCAAATATCTTGTCCTTGTCTCTTACATTAGACTGTGAGTCCCTCGAACTGTGATTTTTGTCTTTCTTCATATTCCCAGGACTTAGCACATTGCCCGGCATAAGGTTGGTGTTTGATAAATGCTCATTGGATGGTTGTTTGGCTGATTGGCAAAGCAGAGAGAAGGGTATACCGTTCAATAGAATAGCATGAGGGTGGCCTTGGCCTGGGTCACATTAGATATGGCAAACTTTGTTCAGAAGCCCAGGGTCCCAGGGAGAAACTTGAGGCAGGCAAGAGCACCGCATCGGAGCAACATGGCATGACTGAAGATGGCCAGAGAGCTAACGGAATCCTATCAGATAGGATCAGAGGATCAGGCATCCAGAGGCAGAAGAAATGTCAGAGGCCCACACAGCTGGTTATTGTTGGAGGTCATTAAAACAGTCCCCATTTCTATAGGATCTGCCTTACTAAGTTACTCTGAACTTTGCCCTCTCTGAAGGGTCTGCTTTAATAAATCAGTCTGTGTTCCTCTCTCTGAAGCTGAAGACAGAGACCCAGTGGCCTTCCAGGTCTCAGAGATCGCCAAGGTGTGAACTCTCTGACCGAAAGCTTTCCTCCTGGGATCCTGGGACAGCTTGAATTTTCTTGGGAATATATTTGTTGGGAGGAGGAGCATAGACCAAGCCAAGTCATATCCAAAGTCCACAACAGAAGCCTTTTAAATGGATGTTCCCAGTAGAATTCTTCCAAAAAATGGTTTTATTTTCCAGCTGTAACCAGCTGTTGACCAGAGTCAAGCTCCCAGATTGGTCTGATTTATAGCAAATAAACGTGTATCTATTTGTGTGCCTATCCATGCAGGAAAAAAGGAAGAAGGAAACGGCAGAATGGTGGGTGAAGTTCAGGAGCTGAAGGGCCTAGAATCTTACCTTAGACAAGAAAACTCAACCCAGTGCCGCGGTGCAATGCAGCTCATTGTAATGTGGTGCAGCACACCATTCAGCACAACAGACTACAAGAGAATCCTTCCCTATTTCGATGTCTCCATGGTCCCAATGATGTGGTTACACCCTCCAATGATGAACGTCACAACCTGTCCACACCTCAGCCTGTGCTAGTTTTATCCTCCACTCCCATTCATAAATCCTCCGGGGGCAGGGGCGCTCACTCAACGTGCTGGGGTGGGGATGAGGGGCTTCCTCTAACTTTCGTCAGGTGACAAGCACTACTGTGTGCTGGGAACTGTCCTGGGTGCTGAGGATGCCAGGAAAGAGCAGAACCAGTCCCTGCCCTCAAGGAGCTTACATTCTAATTGAGGAAACAACATATATGTAAATCGGTGCAGACAAGATGAATGCAGAGCAGGTGGAAGGCCTCTCTTGACATGGCTAGACCACAATGGAGCAATCCGCTGATGGTCACTCTGCTCCTACCGCATGACCGGTCAGTTTCCTTTTCCAGTCCTGCATCTCTCTGATGGCACCATCCTCCTCACCACTTCTCTTGTTCAGTTCTTACTTGACAATATCTTACGGTTGCCATCTATTCCTCTGTTGACCTTCATGGGACCTTTAACTTTAACCTTCTGGAGCCTTTGGAGGGAATTCCGCTACCCCAGGCGCACAGCATCACTGAAAGATATTGCGGCTGAAAAGCTGGGCCTCTGCTGGAGGGAGTTACGAAAAGCCCCACACAATTCACTAAAACAATCCAGTCCATGTTACTCCTCCGACTCACTTCTAGGACCTTCCCGCTGACCATTTGTAGGGTCTGAGAGGCCTACGAGCTGTCCATCCAAACCAAAAGCAGATGAAAGGCTTTCTTCAATTCTTTGGTTTTTCCTGTGTGGATAATTAGATAACTCCAGCCAGGATGTGTCTGCGGTAGAATCGATCATTCTGACTCAAAGTCTGGCCCTCTCTCTACCACACCCATGCCTCTGCATGGGAAATAACAGCGCTTCCCCCATGCTTCTCACCCTGAAGTCACTTCTCCCCTCAACAGTAACTCACTCTCATGCAAAGAAGTAGATTGGTTTCCTTGGGTCTGTTACAGGAGAAGGCTCAGACCTAGATTTGCACCATGGGAGCGAATACACAACAGATGCCAAGGATAGTGGATTTAAATGAGAAGACCTAGATTCAAATTCTGACTCTCCCCCTCACCTGCTGTTTGATCTTGGATAAGTCACTTCACTTATGCCTCAGTTTCCTCATCTACAAAATGGAGTGGTTGGACCTAAATGGTCCTTCTCCACACTAAATCTATGAAAACAAATTATAACCTAAGGGCAAGATGTATAGACTTGAGATAAGTCATTTCACTGCTCTGGGCCTCAGTTTCCCTCTCTGCACTATGGGAGGTTTGGTCAGGATAGCTCTAAGTTTTTTTCCAGTTCTAACATGCCATGTCTCTGTAAAGATTTATCCAGGTAGAGTTTTTCTTAGAAAGTTTTTTGTTTTTAATGCCTGACACTAACCAGGCAGAATGTAAGTGTTTCACAAGCTGAAAATAAATGGCTAGGCAGCCCATTAATCGTTTCATTGTCTGGCTAGAGATTTATGGTTTGTTAGCTCCATCCAAGACCGTCCAGAGAAGGAGAGCAGTTAACTGAATGAACCGCATTTGTGTGCTGGGGAGTATGCAGCAGAGCGGCCAGTCATCCACTCAGGCCCTACGCCAAGACTTATTTATCCACACAGTCGGGCACTCGCTAAGGCAGGAGCTCTGATGGCTCAGTTCTGGTGCAGGCCGGATTTGGAACCTTAGCAGCACAGCTCACCCTGGAGCACTGAGCAGAAGCCAACCATTTTACCACTGAGTTACGTTCACTTTGAGGGTATTCATTGTTCTTTTATGTGGCTTTCCAGCTCAACTAGAAGCCCCCTGAGGGCAGAAAATACCAGAGCCAAAATGAGGCCTGAGGCAAGTGGTAAGATGGGTGTCTTACCTTGGGAGGAGAGGGGGAGCGCTGACTGCCCCATGAGACATTGTTGTGAGGCCAGTATCGGGGGCCTACTAGCAGAGCGAGGAGGAGTAAAGTGAAAAAATGATAATAGCTTGGGCGGTTAGGTGGGGCAGTGGATAGAACAGCAGGCCTAGAGTCAGGAGGACCTGAGTTCAAATCTGGCCTCAGACACTTCCTAGCTGTGTGACCCTGAGCAAGTCACTTAACCCTGTTTGCCTCAGTTTTCTCATCTGTAAAATGAGCCAGAGAAAGAAATGGCGAACCACTCCAGTATCTCTGCCAAGAAAACCCAAAAATGGGGCCACAAAGAGTTGGACACGACTGAAACAACTGAACAATGATAGATAATAGCCTGTGCTTGTACAGGGGTTAAGGTTGACAAAACAATAACAGATCTTATCACATTTGATCCTCGTGACAGCCCTGTGAGATGGGGGCTATTGTTACCCCTATTTTAGAGATGATGAAACTGAGGCTCAGATCTCCCAGCTGGCGGGTAACCGTCTGGGGCAGGCTTTAAACTACTCTTCCAGCTCAGTGGGCTACCATCTGATAAAGTGTAAAAGTGTGGTCTCCTCGGACTTTGGGTGGCCGCATTAACCAAAAGAAAGATGATTAAGCTCCTTCTGGCTTTGAGTCACCACATTCGCACATGGAAAGGCCAGGGATACAGCAAAGCAGTTGACCCAAATAATTGACTCTCCACCTTTTCTCCACTCACTCAGCTGTATGGCCAAAAAAGAGAGACTTTGAGTTTAAAACCTGGGGAACTATGAGCCCTAGAGCTATTTGACCATTATCTGATGTCATGGTCAAACAACAACGACAAGGTTTCTACCCTAGTCTTCAGAGATGAAAATTGGTGATGTGTGTTAGACGTTGCCATAAGCTAGGGTGAGGTCTCCAACCGATGGACTGAGCCAGTCAGTGCTTGGTGGTAGATTCCTCTCTGTCTCGGGGGGCCCTGGCCTGGGAGTTAGGAGACTTGAGCTTTAGTCCAGATGATCCCTAAGGTCTCTTCTGGTTCTGATAGCCTTTGATTCTGTGGTTATTAGTGTTAACAAGAGCCAGCCAACAGAGACTTGAGCAAACATCCCTGCTGGAGATGCTTAGCTCACCATGAGACAAGTAAGGAGACAGAAGGGTATATTGAGAAGAGTGAGAAAACGGGAGTAACAGGTCCTGGGCTTGAATCCTGGCTGCTGGCCTCAGTTTCCTCATCTGTAAAATGAGAGGTTGGACAAGCTGGTCTCTGCGCTCCTTTCCAGCTTTGAGGAATAGAATTTGTGAGGAGCTTCAAGGTTTACAAGGGGTTTTGCCACCCACCGTTATCTCCTCTGATCCTCACAACGACCACGCCAACAATCCCTGAAAACATGACCCCATTGAAAGGGAAACCAAATGGAAGAGTTGGAGGCCAGATCCTTGCAGGGGTGAACATGCCAGGACGTATCAATCAATGGTTTTCATTTGCCGTCAGGCAGCTCAGAGCAGGAATTCGGCAGGAGAGAAGCCAAGCAGGAGTTGTGCTGACTTCATAGCATCCTTCGGTAGTTTTCTTACCCTTTTGGAGATAGCTCCAAATCCCGTTTAAGGAAAACAATTTGAACAATTTCAAGCAGTCTTTCGGTGATCTCATGAAGAGGCCTGACAAGGAAAACACTACACTACAGGTTTTAAGGATTTGAGGTTTGGGGTTGTTTCTGGGGCATTTGGAGAATGCAGGAAGAATCTGAGGGGATCTGCCAGCTGCTCAGAGGTGCAGAGCTGTTATTGTGAAATGCCAACCTGGATTGGCTAAGGTGGGAACACATTCCGGGAGTGACCGTGGCAAATCCACCTGGGAGGAGAGGAGTGTGTGTGTGTGTGTGTGTGTGTGTGTGTGTGTGTGTGTATGTGTGCGCGTATGTGTGTGTGTGAGCACGTGTGCACGCAGGCACATATGAGCTCATCATGGTGGGTCACCTTAGCATCCTTTCTTTCTTGGGGATGGTCACGATTTTTGGCTTCTTTAGTATTTCTCAGTGCTTAGGACAGTCTGTGGAACACAGTAAGTGCTTAATAAATGCTTTTTTGCTTGCTTGCTTGCTTACTCAGCTCCCTTAGTGGGAATAAGCTAGAGATTTCAGTGGAGCCACAGTGAGCTCTGTCTGGTTGGCAGAGCTCACTTCACTGGGCCAAACCTGATCGTTGTCCTGGCCCAGAGAGTACTCCAAGTTTGGGGCCAAACCCCTGTTTTAGGAAGAAGTGGCTAGAGACATCCTGGACTTTCTCTTGAACTGAGGACAAGTGGAAAGATTCCCTAAGGGTCTGAGAAATCCTGAAAGGGTTAATCAGTGAATAAGGGTGGGAGAAACCCTAATGGTCCTAAAGTATCTCTCCACCCTCACTTCTAAACTGGGTGGAATGTTGGAATAATCCCCCAGAAGAAAGGCGGCAGAATCCCAGGAGGCCAGGTGAGTCACCAAGCCATTCCTAAGGACCTAGATGCTTCTGGGCTTCCTTTTCTGTGTAGAAAAAAGGCCAGCTGCCCCACAGACCCTGGAGGCAATAGCCACTCAGTCTCTGGTCCAGTCTTGACTGTGATGGTTGCTTTGGCATCAAAATGAAATCCACATTCCTTTTTGCTTATTCCATCCAATCTGGCCCCACTCTACCCTTCCAGTTTTTTTCTCATATTCTCTCTTCCATGTACTTCATGATACAGACAAACTGGATAACCCACACTGTCCCCTGTACATGCCCCCCTCCCTCTGCTATTTGGTCTTTCCTTTTGGTCAAACTGTTCCCTGTGCATGGAATGTCTCAAGCCATCCTTTCAGGACTCTCAAATTTCACCTCCTTGGTGAAGCTTTCTTAAATCTGCTGCATATAGTAATGACCTTGATAGACTGGACCTTCCAGAGCATTCTATACGTTTATAATAGTAGGGGTCCATTCAATAAACCGATTACTCATCCTAACCCTCTTAAGAGTAATTAGCTTAGCAAGATGAGACTACTAGTTAAACAATCAAAAGACATTTTAATTAGGTGAAAAATCCTTGATCAATTTAGAAATCCCCAAGGACAACTGCAAGTATGTTCATATTGGTGAAGGAGACTTGGTCAGGCCCTGTGGGTTTTGTATAAAGTATCCAGCCAATTCAAAACCTAATGACTCAAGTATCTAGTGGCAGAAGGAAAAGCCAAGCTCCTGAGAAATCCTTTCTTGTAGGAGAAGAAAGGGCCTTGACCTCAGCCTCTTCCTCCCTCTCCTCCTTTGGCTAGACAATGGCCTTGTGAACTTTGGAACATGAATGCATTTGGGCTTTTCATCAGCATCCTAGCAGTGTCCATGGGTCAGCAACATCTGGTGGGTGCATCCGCATCGGGACAAGGAATAACTAGGTATATTGAGGATAGACAGCAACAAGACTTTATAAGGAGGGAAGTGTGAGTTACGCCATGCTTAGAGAGAACTTCATGAACATTCCTCCCGTGGGAAAAAAGGACTTTTAGGTGGTAGTATCTGTAAGTTATCCCTGCCACATACGCTCTAAATGCACATTCCCCTGCACTCTGTGTATACTCTTAGGAAAGTGTGTCAATTTTTTTGGGGGGGGTGGAGGGGATATTTTGTACCAACTGTTCCTACTGTGCCACCTCAACCATTATACTATTCCTTTAAAAATTAATTAAGTCTGGTTTACTAATGAATGTCAACTGATAATCATGAAGGGAAGCACACCGTTGGGGGCTCATGAGTTCAACCATTAGAAATACTCCACAGCATACCCCCATAGCTCAGAGCTACCCCTACACACCTGGGAGAGCAGCCAGCCTGTGGGAAACCAGTCTGTCAGTGCAAGTGGAAGTTATGAGAGTGAACCTAGAGTTATGAGAATGAGTCTAGACTGGGCACATAGTGCCTGACACATAGTAGGTACTTAATGAATATTTATTGATTGATCTCCATAAGAGTAGGGACTCTATGTCATTCAGTCCTATAACCTATGACTCTTGGTGAATAAACTTTGTAAATGCCCCAGTGCTCAGAAACTTTTCTGGTTTTGAACTGGACCTGAGATTTTTTCAGTATAGGAAATTCCAAGGAAGGAAACTCTCTACAAGGCAGATGAGCACCATCTCTGCCCTTGCCTTTGAGAGCTTCTAGGGGACACTGAGAGGTTAATTGACTTGTCTAGGGTCATACAGTTTTATGTGGTACTTGATCCCAGGTCTTCCTGACTCTGAGGCTGGTTCTCTATCCACTATACCACACAGCCTCTTAGCTCTGATGAGTGCACACAGTAGGTATTTAATAAATGTTTATCTCTTTGAGAAATTCTGCAGGTGGATTCAATGACTACAGGATTATACAGCAAGGTCACAAACTTAGAAGTGTACCTTAAAATTTAAAATTAGAAGGGGCACTAGAGATCATCTCCTCTAGCCCCTCATTTTACAGAAGGGAGAAGGCTAAAGGGGAAAGCCTAGGTCAGAACTGCCCACATCTATCCAGGAGGTAAGTGTCAGAGAAAGGTCTTAAATCCAGTTCAGATCCAGGGCTTTCCCCACTAACACTGCTCATCTGGTTCCTTGTTTTACAGATGAGGAAACTGAGACCTCTCAGAGAGAAGTGACTCTTACCCATAGCAGTGGCACAGCCAGGATCTGAACCCAGGATCTTTGACTCTGAAGCCAAGGCTTTTCTCACTGGGTCTCTCCCTTGGGTCCCCAGCTCCCTTCTTGGGCTAATCTGCTTTAGATGGGCACTCAGAAGGTGAGCTAAGATTGTGGCTGCTCCTTTTGCCAGATGATCTCAGATGAGGCTATTTTGAGAAAGTGTTCCTGACTTATTTTAGGGGAATCATTGATAAGAAGTCTGAGATAAGATCAGCTCTTTGGGTGGCAGGCTTCCTGCAGCACATTCCTGGTGCTTGGCATTGGTGGCCTCCCTAAACAGAGCTGTTCTCCCAGGCCTGGGGCAGAGAGAGGGGGGGCCTCTGGGAACCTCTGCATTGGCAGAACAGTAGTGGCCCAGATGGTTCTGAGCTTTAGGTCTCTTCAGCTATTGCTCTAATCCTAATCATTCCAAATAAATACTGATTAAACTTTTATTGAGGCAGTTTGGTGGCCTGTTGGATAGAACATTGGTCATAACACTTGATCTCAAATCTTGTCTCACTCTCTAGCTGTGTGACCCTGGCCCAGGAACTACACCTCTCTCTGCCTCAGCATCCTCTGTGAAATGAGCATGATAACAGCCCTTGCCCTTAGTAAAGGAATATTTGCCATTCTATCAGGAGGAATGACAGGCTGTGTGCCCGCTGACATCCGGGAGATGATAAGGGGAATGTGAGGAAGGGTCCCTGGGATCAAGCTAAGAGAGGACAGAAAGAAGAGTCATTCAGGGTAGGCAGGCACAGATGGGCCACACTCTGCACTGTTGAAGTGACTGCTCCCATGGAAAGGATCAGAGAGTCAATAAAACACCTGAGAGCATTGTTACTTTGCTGCTTCCGTACCTGATATACATTTATTTTATTTTTATACTTAATTTTTAATTTTTCCCTTACTATAGATTCCATGGGTTTCTAAGGCTGCTTTCAGTTCTAAATCCTAGAATCTATGGACTTTAAAGGGGAAGCTACATGTATATGTATATATGTATGTATGTATGTATGTATATGTGTGTATACATTATATACATATATTTTTTTTTTCACCATAACCCACATGCTGGTCGGGACCTCTGTGAGGCCCCTGGGTATTTCAGGAGAAGACTGAAATTCTCAGAAGAGGCCTTAAGCTAATTACACAAAAGAGATCTCTAAGATCCCAGTTTTAAGATTCTTTGATACTAACTCATGCCTTTCTCTGAGCCTCAGTTTCCCCACTTGTATAAGGAGAAGTCATTACATCCATTTTACAGATGGGGAAACAGAGGCCAGAGAGGGGAAGGGTGTTGCCCAGGGTCAAATAGCTAATGAGTGCGGTAGGATTTAAACTCAGGCCTTCCTGCCTCTATGGCCAGTGCTCTATCTGCCACACCCTGTAGCTGCCTCTATGATCTCATGATCATTTTTTGCATGTTATTGGACTCTCTCATGTTGGTCCCTTCTGTCTTTTGTTTGTTTGTTTATTTAGTCATGTTTGACTCTCTGGGACTTCATTTGGGGTTTTCTCCAGCTTATTTTACTGATGAGGAAACTGAGGCAAACAGGGTTAAGTGACTTGCCCAGGGTCACACGGTTAGTCAGTATCTGAGGCCAAATTTGAACTCAGGTCTTCCTGACTCCAGGCCCAGTGCTGTATCCACTGAACCACCCAGCAGCCCCCCTTCTGTCTAACCTTCAATGATTCTTTGAAGATTAGTTAACTCCATCTCTAAGGCCCTTTCCAGCTCCAAAACTGACTCCCCTCCCCCAGACCAGGGGGATGGTTTCTCCTGAACTCCACATTTCCTAGCCCTTCAGCCCAAGCAGGAGTGGGGTGCATTCCATCTTCTACCAGTGACTAGCCGAGAGCCCCACCCCCATCCTTCGTGCCGTCAGCACATGGCTGGGCAGCCAATTTCTCAGACCCAACAGGGAATCCCGTGCGGCCTTCTATCCCAGGAGCAGCACCCTGGGTCCAGCCAGGGCCACAGTGCAGCAGAAGCAGCCAGCCAACGTGGGCTCCAGGCTGGTACCAGGGACAGCCGTCAATGGGGAAATGTATTTGTTATTATGACCCCATAAGCCTTTCCTTCCCTTCTCATGCTGATGTGAGCTGCAGCTTAGGGACAGTGAGGTCTGAAGAATGCTTGTTCTGGATTCTGTGGACTTATTTGTCCATGTCTGGCTTTTCTGGGACAGAAGGGCAGTGCCTGGAGGCTGCCCCATGCTTCCTGGAGAGGCTGGGGTGAAGGCAATCCCTGCAGCCCCAAAGTCAAAATATCTCTCCCAAGTCCCTTGACTTTATAAGGACAGGCAGCTCCTGATGGAGCCGAGAGCTTCCTGGCTGCCTGCTCCCTGCTGCCCTGGAATGAGCCTCAGCTAAAAATGTCTCAGGCTCCCTCAGACCGAGGGATTTCTTTCTACTCTTAACCAAGTCGGTGAATGTCATGGTGTTTCTGTCTGTTACCTAGATCCACTGATAGTTTGGAAAGTGATTTTTTTTAAACTCTCAGAAATTACAAGGATGACAGAGCACTGTGTACAATGAGAGCTTTTATTATTCTATGAAACATTACTACCTAATCATACAATGAAAACCCCATTGGCTCTCCCTGTTTGGTGAGGCAGGCAGCCGGTGCCTCTGAACCCTGCAAAAGCTAGCCACTGGAGACTTGCAGAAGAGGTACATTGGGGAGAGTGCAGGGAGGAACCTTGGGCTGGGCACTACCCTCTTTGGACCTGTTCACCCATTTGGAAAATGAGGGGATTGGGCAAGGTAAAGTCTGAGATCCCCTTCCTCTCCGACATTCTGACAGTCTTTGGACATGAGTAATTTAGCTGGGACATGGGGAGGAACTCTCAGTTAACTGGGTCACCTTGAAGATAGTAGGAAAGAGCTAAGATGGATCACTCTCTTTTACAGACTGGTTATTACTCAATACCAAATAGTAAGCTTAGAAAGAAGGCTTCCGGTTTCTGAGTGGAAAGGAAACACAGTCCTGAAAAAAAATCTCAAAGGATTAAAAGAGATTTCTGAAATGCCCCACTTTGCCCCCTCCAATAAAAGACTTTTGGTCCATCTTTGAGCTTTGCATTCCATCATTTTTTTTTAAATGCAGGGAAATAGGAAGAGTTTTAACTTCAGCTGTGATTTCCATACAGGCAACCTTTCACTGAACCCATTTTCTTACTTTATTCTTTTATTTTTAAAGTGTTCATTGATATCTCTTTTTTTATATCTCCCATATTTCCAAATATGTCTCTCTCCTCTTGTGCAGAGAGAGAGCCATCCTTATATCAAAGAATAGATAGATAGATAGATAGATAGAAAGATAGATGGATGGATGGCTGGATAGGATGGATAAAGCATTTATTAAGTGCTTACTATGTGCCAGGCATTGTGCCAAGCACCAGGATTACAAATACAAGCAAAAAAGAGACAGTCTCTCCCATCTGGGAGCTTACATTCGAATAAGAAAAAACAAGAAAGGAGACAGGAGAAATGAGAGGAAGGAATTACCAGGGCAGGGTCAAAATAGACAAGTCTGAAGGGTCAGGAGAGAAGTGATCATGGACAGTCTGATGGTCATGAAGTGGTGGTCCTAGGCAAGAATCCACCAAGCAGAGGAGGGGCTGCAGGGTAAGGGCATCCTTAGGCTTGTTAAAAAAAATTCTGCAAAATAAACCAACATATTAACCAAGTCTGATATTCTACACAGTGTTTGCAACCACAGTCCTCCCACATCTGCAAAGAAAGAAGGGAAATGCGTTTTCCTATTTCTTTTGGAAGGCCACTTGTGATCATTAAAATACAGTGTTGTCCTAACTATTCTGCAGTATTTGGGCCCCTCTTTTTGTCATTGGCCTCCGTGGGATATATGCCTAGCATCCTGATATCTGGGTCAAAGGATATGGGCATTTTGGTCACTGGGCCAATTTTTAATAATAATTTAATAATAGTTCAAGTGAATCCGGCAGATTAATTGGTAATTAAATCCCTACTTTACACTACATACAGAGGACATTCTTTTCTTCCTCTGATCCATTCTTCACACAGCTAACAAAATTATCTTCCATGGGTCATATCTCAGCTCAAGGGTGAGGGGTATATGTTGTGAGGTGGGGGAAGGGTTTGCCTTGGCTCTAATCCAGGGACATAGGGACCTGTGGCCTGTCTCCAGACCTAGCACAGGTCTCTGGTAGGTGTGCTCCAGAGCAGACTGTGATACAAGGGCTTCCCTCTGCTGGAGAGTTTACATTGGGACCTAAATGCACTTCATAAACTCAGTCCCTGCCCTCAGGTAGCTTATATTATGGGGTGAAGGGGAGGAGGTGTACACAGAGAAGCAAATTGAAAACCAATAGAAACTATATTGAAAATACCTCACCTGGTAGCTGAGGGATCGGGAAAGGCCCTGCATGGGAGGTAATGTTTATGCTGAGCTTTGGAGAGTGTGGGGTTGATTCCAAGGGGCAGAGGCAAGGAGGGAATGCAAGAGAACGGGTCTTCTCTGCACGGGGACCAGCCTTTGCAAAGACGAGGGGCCAGGAAAAGAAAGAACAGAGAGCAGCAAATGCGCCAGTGAGCCCAAAAGAAAGAGTCCAGAGAGGACCTGGGTGGGCCCAGGGGGCAGGGCCCAGAGAGGGACCAGGTGAGCCCAAAAGACAGGGCCCAGAGAGGAACTGGGTGAGCCCAGGGGGGCGGGGTGGAGAACCCAGAGAGGAAACCAGTGAGCCTAGAAGGCAGAGTCCAGAGAGGGAACCAATGAACTTAGAAGCAGAGCCTGGAGAGAGAATTGGTGAACCCAAGGTGAGGGGGGGGAGAACCCAGAGAGGGAGCCGGTGAGCTTAGAAGGCAGAGCTCAGAGAGGGCCCCAGAGAGAGCCCGGGAGGCAGGGCCCAGAGAGGGACTGAGTTTAACCCTAAAGGCAGTAGGCAGTGACTAGGGGGTGGGTGGGAGGGTGGAGCATGCTACTCCAAATCCAGAATTTGGTTACACAATGCAGGACCCTAGATACATCCAGGGATTCCACACTGGGATGGTTTTCAGAGCCTACTGAATGTCGACCCCATGTCTCTCAGTCATGAACCAGACAGCTTCCCACACTCTCTTCTGGGAGGTCCATCATTCTCATCAGAACAAAAACAAACAGTTTAGACTGAGCTCATGAAGGATTTAAGTTCTGCAAAAGAGGAAATGACAGATCACGGGGGTGGTGAGACCCTGGAGCGGATGACTGAGGACAGCAGTCCAGTCTTCATGGGAGTTTGTCAAACACCACATACCTCGGGATTAGGGCTTGGGTTGAGCACCGCAGGGGGCTGCTCTCCAGGCAAATGACTTCCACCATTTTCTGGTGCTTCGATTAATCCCTTTATGGAGGTAACATGAAATATGGGAAGAAACTAGGGAGTGAATTCAGAAGACCCAGGTCTGAACCTGGTTTTCTGTTTCGTAATTGTGTGCCTTTGTCCAATGCTCTGAGCCTCAGTTTCCTCATCTATAAAGTAAGGGGTTTGGACAAGATGTTCCTTCAAGCTTTAATTCTGTTAAACCAATGATCTTATGACTCAGTCTTGGTTTTTTGTTTCCTCTTCTGTGAATGAGGGGGGTGACCTAGAGGGTCCCAAGGAAGGTCTCAACTGGCTCTCAGTGTGTAACCTATGATCTTTCCCCAGAAGTGTGCTAGCTGCCGGCCTGGGTCTGAGAGGCATGAGAAGACAGAAGGACCCAGAGTCAGGATAATCCCCACTGTTAGGACTCATTGTTGTATGACCATGGGCAGATAATGTCACCTCTGCTCTCTCATCTGTAAAATGGGATAATGTTTGTAAAGTGTTTTGTGAACCTTGAATTGAGGATAGACATCAGTCAGAGCCCAGGCTGCTGGCAGCAAAATGAATTACTTCCAACAGCCCCACTAACACTGGTAGGTATTTTAGTCAGGAAAGAAGGACCAGAGCTGAGCAATGAACACAAAAGCTGAAGGACCTGGGCTAATACTCTGAAGCCAGACACGTGCCTGGTAACTGACCCTTGAAACAAAAAAGAGTTCTGTGAGAACAGAGGGAGCCAATCCACAGATGTCGCCAAGGCCCAGAGGCATTCGAGCTCCTCCAGTTCCTGAATCAGGACAAAATGGATCCATCATTCAATCAATAAGCATTTATGAAGCACCTACTATGCGCCAGTCTGTACTAGGTATTGAGGACATAAAGTTAAAATATTGAGATAGTCACTAAAGTGGACCCCAGACCAAGTTCATATTTCAGTTTATGCAAGTCTCCAGTTATTCTGGCTACTTCTCATGGACTCAGCTGGGTATTAAGGAACGCCAAGGGAAATATCCTTCCTGTTTCTTCCAATTAGCCTTGTGGAGCTTCGAGAACGGTCACTGTCCCTCTGGTGCCTCATGGTTTCACTGATGTAGAAAGTGTTGGTCTGGAAGGGCACATGCAATCACCCCAGAGGAGGCCGGACAGCATAGTGGGAAGAGCCCTGAACCTGGTGCCAGCGGCCGGGTCGGCTATGAGCTAGCTGGGTGACCTTGGGCAACCTCCCTCCCTCTCTGGGCTTCAGAATTCTCATCCCTAAAATGAGGGGCTTGACCTGGCAGATCTCAACGGCTCCATGAGGATCCCAGACCTGGTTCACAGCTAAGGTCTGAGGTCGATTTCCACAGGAACAGCTCAGAGACTATTGGAGCACAGCAAGTAGTTACTAAGTGACATGGTCTCATTCTCCTGTACAATTTCTCCTGGGTACTGCCTAGCCCTGGCAACCCCTGGTCCTGGCACTCTTGGTCTTGGGCACTGCCTGGCCCTGGGCACTCCCTGATCCTAAGCATTGCGTGGCCCTGGCACCCTGGCCTTGGGCATTCCACGGCCCTGGCTCTTGGCACTGCCTGACCCTGGGTACTCCCTGACCTCTACTTCAGTCACAGTTTAACCGAGCCAGTAGGGGCAGGTTCTTGGCCAGTTAGCCCCACCCTGGATAGGGCTCCCTCCTTCTGAGACCTGACTCT